TGTTGTTCTTTGTTTGTATATGCCTATATTTTGATTAGAGGGTTAGAGAGGTGTTTTATATTTTGACGTGGAGGTCGCTATAAAAGCCTTGTTGTAAAAACCTTGATCATTATAGTGCTTTTGCTTCCTGGGATTGGAAGGACACTTGATGTAGGCAGTTTGGCCGAACTAGTATAAAAACCTGCGTTTGAATTCTCTATCCCTGCACTTTTATTTTCAAAGTCAACTTTATTTTTCACGTAGTCAACTATTTCCGCTGCACTTTAAAAATCTTATTCCTTGTGATTCAAGAAACTTTTGAAAGATCATCCTTTTGTCAAAAAGATTTTTAAAAGACTCTGATTTTTGTGTTTCACCAATTCACCCCCCTCTTTGTATTGAATTTAAGCCATTCTATTTTCAAGAGACAGGTTCAACAAAATTGCTTTGAAAATAAGGAATTTGAATCTCGAGGTCATGCTTCACTACATGATCACAACACTAAAGCCGTGACTGTTTGTTAATGATCTATGCATGAAAAGTTCATATATCTAGAGGAAGTCAAGGAGTAAAATATAGAGGTGAGGATGGAAATCATGCAAGTCGTTGTGCGGTTCGTTTAGAAGAAATGTAATGATCAGGATGTTGGAATGAAGAATGGTCCTTAGCCGAGAGAACCTAGGCCGCGAGTGTTAGAGGAAACACTTCAGGCACACCTCATCCCCTGGCCCAAGAAGTCCCAAAATCTGCCAAACACAAACATGTCTAAGTATTGTAAGTATCACCGTAATAATGATCATATTGTCAATGAGTGTACCACTTATCAAAACAGGATGGAATATTTGTGTTGGACACCTAAAACGGTTTGTGCGATGAGATGATGAGGGGAGCTCTCGCTCTGAGTAAAAGAGTAGAGCCTTTGATTTCCTTGTTAATGAGACCCATAAGGCCGATTCTTAAGGACATGTGCAATAAAAGTATAAAAAGCATTTAGGAGACAAAGACAAGTATAATGCCTTGCAGATCAATTTGAAAGCTTGAATATAGCCCCACCCGTTAGGATACAGCTTTTTCGTTGCTACTTTGAGAAGTCAGAAGACACCCATACTGAAGAGAGCCTTATATACATAAAAGAACTCGTCTTTGTAACTCTCCTTGCCATAAGAAACACTATCAATGGCACATGCTCTTCGGAGGGAAACAATGCCTTCCGACACTCCTCAGTTGAATGCATATATATTCTCCAAGAAAAGGTTAAGATCCTTGACAACCTAAAGGTCAAAAATTGCATTCTATCCGAGGGATCGACACACTCATACCCCTCTCTCTTATGCTACACGGATTTGTCATGTTCTTCTAGTGGATCTTCTCTATTCTCTATCATTACTTCCCTACTTACGTTCCATTCTAAAGAGGATTTGGCATCGGATGATATCGACACCTGGCTACCTATGTTATTACCTTTATCGAATTTCGACATACTTGCGAAAAGAACGCCTACTTGATCTTAATAGCACTACACTTCTTTTGTAAGCGCACACAATATCAAAACTCTCGTAGAAGCTTGGTGAAAAACTTTAGACAACTTCACCTCCTACATATAGTATGTTGGTGACAGTTCACCTTTTGGCCTAATGCGCCAAACCCATCCCAAATCGACCCACAAAATGTTCCTCCCAAGGAAACTATTATGTTTATGAACCATTCCTTCCCTTCCAAGGCAACTCCCCATTTTTCAATCTTAACTCTTCCTAAGCTAACATTTTGGTTTCTACGTCACACCTACCCCCATCATTCACATCTCATCATATTTGACATCTCATCACTCAAACTTCTTTGTTGCTACGCTTGTTGAGGATGTGAGGCTACAATACCTATAAGGTTATGACTAAAGATAACAAATTTTCTTTACAAGATTACACACGTTGAATACCGACATTATATTTCCATAACTCAACTATAGACCGACTACTTACATTCTTTATATACTTTCCAAACATGAAAAGATTAGAGGCTGATGTACTATCTAAGATGATTAACTAACCAAACATAGATAGGATATCTCATACCGGATACGTGATACCAGGTATTGGGTATCTCGAGGCTAGTAAAGCTTTCATCAAAAGTACTAAATACTTTGTAAAAGTCAAGCCGCGAATACTAAGGACGGAATCCCAAAAGAGTAAGTCCAAATATGTTACACGTCAAACACTGATGGTCGAACACCAAGTACCGTGTTTCTTCAACTGAATATTAATTGTCATTTGCCGATGGATGCTCTCCTTGCTAGAACTTAGTCTTGCTTATCGAAACTTATTTCTGCCTGCCAAAGATATCAACACGCTACATACCTTAACCAAAAATAATTGTAAATTGTTACAAATAAAATGCCCATGATAAAAAATCATCCAAAAAAAATTCCATAATTAATATAATACTTATATAAATATTATTTTAATTAAGTTTTAAGACATATTTTTTACGTTAACCATTGATTAGAATTTCTTACTAAACTTTGACTTCAACTTCAGAAATTATTGTTCAAACACCTTATTTATAAATAAGACGAGTAATGATAAGAGAAAAAAAATTTTAAAGGACAAGTAGTTAAAGTTCTTATAGTTAAAAATTTCTTTAAATAATACCTCCGGAATTACAATTCTCAATTGATGTGTCTTCAATATATGATATTAAGTGTTCGTCGACATGAAGATGTGTTCTTAAGTGCATTCTGGACTAACATCTTCGCCTAATTTTTATGTCATATATGATTAGAAAATAATAATATTATTTGACTTCTGACAATTTTGTGATACTTGATTGTGTCGTCTTCACTTTGATATTCGTGCCAATTATTGCTTATAATTTAGATTTTGAAAATATCTTATTGAAAACTTTTAAAAACTAAATATTATTATTAAAGAACCAAATATTAATTCGTCAAATACTCTGAATTGCGCCCATTTTTCATAATTTAATTTTTTTAGAAACAAAGTCTTTAACTTTTTAAGTTCACTGTCACGATGCAAGTATGTGTAGCAAAATCTCTCGGAATCTTTTATTTTGAAATCATAAAAGAGAATATTATATTTGGTAAGTAGTTAAGCTAGGACATGGAGCAAGAGACGCAAGTTTTAGACAGAGGGAATGCTGTCCCCACAAATTTTGAAGATTATAGAGTACTACTATATGTAGTTTGTACTATAATATTGCTAATATTGTTGATTTACCTTTACTGTATTATTATGTCATTAAATTATTGTCCTTCAGAAACTCGAATGCAAAACAAACTTTAAGAACTTAGAATTCTGAGATATTATTTCAACAGTAGGAGTAATCGTAAATATATAGCAGTGTCAAAAGTATTATAATTTGTGTCCATACACCAAATTTCTGCTGTTGTCAGATGCTGTGAATCCTTTCTAATACCCAAATTGTTAAATATAAATTACAAATACAAATGCAGAGTTAATAAGAACTACAATTGTATAGCATTAACCTCATTAGTGAGAATTTTACAGTTGTATAACAAAATAAATCTCCTTAAAAAGTTTGGTTAGTTTTAATTAAGGCTCTTTTGGATTGTGGTGCGTGTCTGACAGAGCAAAATGGGTTTCCCTATATTTGAAACCCACTGCTGGCAGTTCTTTCTACGTTTAGGGAGCATGGGCCACAGAATTTAAGATATATCCTAATCAAGCTTAAATTAGACAAAGTGGACTTGCAGGAGAAAATAATAACCCTCCACAACAAAGGGTATTTTCATATTCAACTGTAATATTCTCTGGCCACCTATCACACAGTTTCTTTCACTCTTCTTCTTTTCCAAGTTTCACTACATGCCAATCTATTTAATGTGGCTCCAGTCCTTATTAAACTCCTCAAATTTGATAAAATCTAACTTGGCCCTCATTAATTTTTATTACATAATAAAGAGTACCATTGACCCCTAGAATATATATAATATACATGTTATGTAGCTATTATACCCTGCCTCATTCACTTGTAAATCATATCAGTATAGTTTCCTTCTTTACCTTAACATGAATCAAAACCAGCTTCAGCCTCTGCCTCTGCTTAGTAGCTTCCTAGGTTCCTCTCCCGAAGAAGCTTTGCTACAAAACCAAAATTCTAAACCACATCATGGTCAAGTTGAGGATGTCACTGTGGCCTTACACATAGGCCTCCCCAACAATTCAAGTGGTGGTTCCACCAATGATCATGGATTTGTGAATGCCACAACTCATGCTCCTAGCAACTACTGGATACCAACTCAAGAACAAATCCTTGTTGGGTTTAGCCATTTCTCTTGTCCCGTCTGCTGCAAAACCTTCAATCGCCACAACAATCTTCAGGTACAGTTATCTCTTATCTGTTTCAAATATATGGGGATTTTTGCATGCTACTCTTCATGTGAAACCCTCGACAGTGTTAACACGGTATAGTGCTGTTTCTGAATGAACTTTGTATCCTAAGCGTAGCGTGTGAAATGGAATAAACCTTCGCTTTAGTCATATCATAGCACATGGCTTTTTCTAAACCTTCACATAAGGTTTCCAATTTTGGAAAATGTCTCATGTTTTTCTGTTTTCCACTTACTTTTATAACAGTTCTAAGGTTTGAAGGGAATGATGACATGTTTTGGTGAAAGTCGATGCTACTCATACTAGCTTTTAGTTAAAAGTTAAGATCTTTAGTTCTTACTTTTGAAGATTTTATAGGAAACAATAAAAGAGCATAAGAGAAGAATAAAAAAGAAAGGTTTTTATGAATGTTATAATGCAGATGCATATGTGGGGGCACGGGTCACAGTATCGGAGAGGGCCAGACTCGCTGAAGCGAACCCATCCACGACCGTTGTTGGACATTCCCTGCTACTGTTGCGCGAGAGGGTGCAAGAACAACATCGAGCACCCACGTGCGAAGCCTCTGAAGGACTTTCGCACGCTTCAGACGCACTTCAAGAGGAAGCATGGCTCCAAACCCTTCACGTGCCGCAAGTGCGCGAAGCCTTTGGCCGTGAAAGGTGACTGGCGAACCCACGAGAAAAACTGCGGCAAACGCTGGCTCTGCATTTGTGGCTCCGACTTCAAACATAAGAGGTCCCTCAAAGACCACATGAAAGCCTTTGGCTTTGGTCACACCCCTTTCACTTCTTCTTCTGATGCCATGTAGTTAATAACCATGCACGTTATTACAATCACGACAGTTAAGGCTGATCTATGTTGTTAGCAATCAAATGTCGTTTTAGGTTCTTTACTACACATGAATAGAGAGACGCTTCTGCATTATTTTTCTTCAATATATGTAACTCATTTGTTCTATGTGTTGATTAAAAAATTGCTTACACATAAAATCAAAAGGAATGAACAAATCCTGAAATCTCAATTTGAAATAAATTATAATCTAGAAGTGTAAGTGGTGGCATAAATTTTAACCCAATTTGGCTAGGATTCGTTTATTTATTTTTATTTAACATCTCAATTTGCCTATAACTGAATTTGGTTGGATCGTAAGTTACTTAAAAATTAAGTCATTTCAAATCTTACAAAATAAAATACCTAAATATTAACATTTTCAATATTTGTTAGTTCGTATAATTAGTTAGAAATAATACTTGTGACACAAACAATAACTCTCAACGTATCTAAATGTCAAAATAATATAATAAATGTTGTACAATCTCAAAATACTATATTTTGCTTTATTCTTGATTTTCTTTTCAATCTCTTGATTAAATAATAACTTACCAATAAGAATTTTATCTTAGATAAAGAAAAAGATAAAATAATAGCAACATATTAAAAAAGAAAAACTTCAATACTATATGACAGATTAAAGAAGAAAAAATGAAACCTAATTAAGTAAAATAAAGTTATGTTTCCTAATATTAGGATTCAAGTCTTGAACAGCTTTGTATTCAGAGTTGAAAAAAGGGTTTAGTTTGATAGGTCACTCCGAAAAACTTCACCTTAGAAAGCTGGGCTTAAAAAATTGTTGTTGCGTTATTTGGTCTTGCACCTCCCCTTTTTTCTTCCTGCACTGGATAAAATTTAATTACCCAATTTTACCCCCTTTAAAATTATATTAAAATTCTCCCACCTTCTCTTCTCTTCTTTGCTGGGCATTAGCGCACACCCATTCACCTCCCTCCATTCTCTCTTCACCTTACGCACCCCTTTTTAATGTTGTATATTTAAAATTATAAGTTGATACATTACAATTGGAAGAAATAGTTTGTGTTCCGGATTTATTGTATTTTTATTTACATTTAAGAATGCATATTCTGATATGTATTTTTAAATTTAGAAATACCTTCTGAAATATACCTTTCAGACATTTATTATTGTATTCTGAAATATACATTTCAGACATTAATTATTTTATTCTGAAATATATATTTTAAAAAGCATTTTTGGAATTGCATTATAGAATATTATTTGTTTTAAATATATTTTAGATTGTGTTATCGGAAATATATTTTCAAATTGCAATATACCTTCTGAAAATATATATTCTGAAACGTAGGTTTTAAATGTATTTTGAAATATTCATTTTAGAATGTGTTTTTAAATTTGAAAATATATTTTAAATTGAAAAAATCAAAATTCGTTCAAAAAAAGGGTGTGGCATAATTTTATATATATTTTTTAATAATTTTAATGAAAATAATTTAGGATTATCAGGTTTTATGAAGAAGTAGGAAGAAGAAAAATGAGGTACAGAAAGAAACATTTGGTTCTTTGTGCTCAATCTCAACCTTCTAGGCTAACAATCCAAAGAGGCCGAGGTCGGTCGAGCCGTTGAGCTTGTAGGCTAATTCTGTAATGTTTCGTCATGGGTAATTGCTATTTGGACCTGTGGTTTCTTCCTACAATTTCATACTGTTGGAAAAATCTGAATATTTTTGGATCTAAAAACATATTTTATTTAGAAATGTATTCTAAGTAACATACTTTGAAAATGTATTCAAATTATATAATTCAAAATATATTTTTAAATCTAAACATGTATTTTAGATTTTTGGATTATCCTGAAAATATATTTTGGATTTTACATTTCAAAATCCATTTTTAAATTACACAATCACAGTATAAATTAGTTGGTCCAAACCCAATCAAGGAAAAAAAGGTATCCCTCATTGTTGTTGAGCTTACGCCTCTACTTGCTGTCGTTAAAGGAGATTGCAACTAAAGAGAGTGTTGCTTCCTTCACTATGCACAACTTTCCCTCCATTGCTTCCACCGGTTTCTTTCACTAATTAATTAAGTTCGTATAAAGTATGTTGATAAAAGTTTAGGTGGAATATGATGCCATTTTTATATACTTATATATATAGTAAATATGGAAGATAATCACATCTAATAAACTCCATCTCAAATCACCATGTAGGTGACTTCGGTTTCCTAATAAATAGTGTTAAAAGATAATATTGACCAGCGGTTGAGAAAACTAAATGAATTACTTTTGAGGCAAGAAATTATTTTAAAAGGTTGGTTTTATTGAATGGATGGAGAAATATAAATGTGAGGATTGTGAGAAATTAATGGTATTTTTGTAAAGGAGTTTAGGTTACTCCACATTTCTAAGTGTATTTCTTAAGTACTATAATATAAAGTTTATTTTAAAAGGTAAATCCAGTTTATTAAAACAATGAAAATTTAACTCGAAGTTTAAAGATGAAAATATTTTTCATTTAGCTAGTGTTTTTGTAAGGTTGAGATTAAACCTTAATTATTAAACTTCACTATTTTTTTTATCAATTTCTGATTATCTAGTTCTAATGTTCCCATCTATTTCTATTAAGCTTACTCCACCTATTATTTATAAAAGACATTTTGATGTTTAAGTAATTGTTCAGTTAAAGTTGATTACAATAAATGTGATAGGTTAAAAAATATTAAATACTTCACCTATATATTATATTTATAGACCCTGAATGAACTTTTACTCAATGATGACCCAATAAGATTGTATAGCTATAATGCATGTAAAAAAGAATGTATGAGCTAACTTGATTGATACACTTCTTAATATTTAAGGAAAGACAAAATATGGGGTGAATGCTCATTTAGATTTTCTTGAAATAAATCACTATAGTTTGTTGTATTTTAATCATAGTCCATTGTTTTAAGGTTTGATAATTATTGTATTTCAAATTTAGGTGTCACCAGCAACTAGTGGTTTCCCTGAATGATAAAATTGTATGTTTTGCTTATTGCACAAGTGTCCCCACAAGAATCTCAAACAAGTATTACATTGGTAAGAATCTCAATCTTATGAACATTCTTTCTTATATAAGCGTATTCTAACTAATTCCCTTTATCATAGTACAATTGTTGGACATACTATGTTGATAGGCAAATCAACTAGTACAACTAAAAAGTTAACATGGTTGTCACTTAAGGTTAACTATTTTGGTGTAATTATAATTGTTTGATTCTTTTTCTTCGACAATTATTTTTAATTGTAGTGTAATAAATAAACTAACTCATATGAGTGTGGTTACTATGTTGTGTAATGAATAACAAACATTGTTCGTGCTCGTATTACAAGTAATTAGAAAACGATAATAATTTAATTGATTCAAAGTACTTTGCAAGTTTTTCTTTTTATGACTAATTGAAATTATTGTCCTCAATAAAGATATTCAGCAATTTGATAAGTGCCCAATATAAGTTAATTTTAAGATTAATTTAACATTTATCCTATTTTGATTATGATAAATATATGTAGAAATCACCCCAATTTGACTTGCTTTGCAAGTTTTGATGATGACAAAAAGTTTGAGTGTAAAAGTAAAGGAAATGGAGGAAATCTAAACAGTTATGGACAAAATTGACATTAGCGCAACTGAGCAGTAATCTTGAGACTTGAGCAACATGAGAAAACCCACCTTAGAAGGAAACCTCAAGCATTAAACTTGAGGCTAAGCTACATAGACTCCTCAAATAAGCTATCTTAGGTGCTACAAATCCAAAGACATGAGGTTTGAGCTATACAGAAAACCCACCTTAGAAGGAAACCTCTACAATTGATGCTACACTTGAACCGCTAAAGCCATGCCCTGGAATGTTTATAACAACATAGTTGCTCCTCTAGATTTTAAAAGACTTCTGGACAAACTTTAGAGAGAGACTTTTTAGAAAGTTTCTTAGACACTTTCCTTTATACTTGAGAGAATATTATTAGAGGTTTAGGAGATGGTGAATACTCCTTGTATTGTATTCTTTCCATCCAATATCAGGTACTAAATCTCTTAGAGTGTTGAAGCAAAGATGTAACCCTTTGGAACTTTCTTTATGGGTACTGTTTTATCTATCAAAGTATGCTCTTAGAGTGTTAATCACTCGTTTTATTGCACTGGCTTAGGCTTAAGTGGTAATCGGTTCCAAGTTATGGTCCAACTAATTCTTTTCTTGCTTTTAGATGCTAGGAATAAATCTAAAGTTATAGTTGGTTATAGAGTTTTGATCTTAATAGAAATGATCCATTCAAGCTTCATTGAAGAGTCATACTAAGGTCAGGTTATTTTAGGCTCTAGGTGGCAAGAATGGACCTGAAGTTACATTCAAAGAGAACTCCCAAGACATGATTATTTGTGCCTTATAGATTATAGTTGAATCTTTACAAGAGAGACATAGTGGCAAAAATATAGTTTTAACACACCTTTATGATCATCTTGATGTNTATATGTAACTCATTTGTTCTATGTGTTGATTAAAAAATTGCTTACACATAAAATCAAAAGGAATGAACAAATCCTGAAATCTCAATTTGAAATAAATTATAATCTAGAAGTGTAAGTGGTGGCATAAATTTTAACCCAATTTGGCTAGGATTCGTTTATTTATTTTTATTTAACATCTCAATTTGCCTATAACTGAATTTGGTTGGATCGTAAGTTACTTAAAAATTAAGTCATTTCAAATCTTACAAAATAAAATACCTAAATATTAACATTTTCAATATTTGTTAGTTCGTATAATTAGTTAGAAATAATACTTGTGACACAAACAATAACTCTCAACGTATCTAAATGTCAAAATAATATAATAAATGTTGTACAATCTCAAAATACTATATTTTGCTTTATTCTTGATTTTCTTTTCAATCTCTTGATTAAATAATAACTTACCAATAAGAATTTTATCTTAGATAAAGAAAAAGATAAAATAATAGCAACATATTAAAAAAGAAAAACTTCAATACTATATGACAGATTAAAGAAGAAAAAATG